TTACTAAAAGGCATACCATTTGTGGGTTGTTTTCATTCAAAAAGATTTACAATATTGCCTTGTTTTCTAAGGTTCGCCCCACCCCCACCTCTTTAATTTCTTCCTACAAGTGCTAGCAAAATAACATTTAAACAAAAAAAAATGTAAGAAAATAAAGACACGCTATGCAAACATAACCACAAACCTGAGACATTTAGGCTTATTTAATTTCTTCAGTCTGCTTTGACCTAAACATGCTGTTATGTTTTAACTTGTAAACACAGTTAATGTATCATATTGCTCATGGATACCAATTTTAAATAAATTAGTTCTCCTTTTAAAGAGTTACCATTTACCCAGGATGACTGCATCAGCACCCACGATGGCACATTCCAGCCCACCTCCTCAATGTGCATCACCTTAAGTATTAAAGCAAAATACTGAGAGTAACCTGAAGTGTGTGTGTGGTGGGGGTGGTAAGAAATAAGTTGATTTGAGCTAGGCTCCTTCCTTAACACGTTGTGAAAACTGGACAAGTCTCTTAAATTTTGAAGTCTCAATTTCCTCAGGTGTAAAAGAAGGGTTCTGAGCTTGATACCCCAAATCTCTTTCAGTTATACATTGCATTTCTTTGCTTCCAGGGATTCTTGCAATTAGTAAAGAAATATAAGATATCCAAGTAAGACACAAGAACATTATCTCTGTTTGCAGATATGACCTTCCAAGCAGAAAACACTAAAGATTCTGCAAAACCACAAGAAAAAAAAAAAAAACTAAATTGAAATTCACAAAAGGAGTCACATCCATATTAAAGACTCCTTTACAAGACAGATTGGTTGGAATTTTGTGATTATGGAGAGTTGAACTGTAGCATATCCAGAATCAAATTATCTTGTACTACTTTTAACCCTCTAATAGCCATCCACTGCCAACTTGTATCTGACCTAATATCCTTGTGACTGTCACATGAAACCTTTTAGAATGTATTAACTTAAGAGAACAACAGGTTGCACAAACAAAAAGCTAAGCATGTATCAGACAATATCTGAAATCTGTGGTAGAGATTTCCTTGATTATTATAACTCACATTCCTAGTGTTTTATCTTGTAGTTGAAAAGTGCCTTAATCTAGACTTTCTATTGCTCTGTAGCCATAAAAATGTCACAAAACCAACACATGCTGAAACATGGTGTTGGGATAACCTGAATCTATGTTATCAGACTTTGGAGTCATGTGGCTCCAGAATAAACTATCATTTATTCTCCTTGAAGTGAGAGCTGTGTTTTTGTGTCAAAAACAAAACAAAACCCTTAGAATTAACAAATGACTTCAGCAAAAAGGTAGGATGCTAGGTCAACAGAAAAAAATGAATAGTGCTTCTATATACTAATGAACAATCAGAAAAAGAAATTAAGAAAACAATTTCACCTACAAGAATACAATATTTAGGAATTAATTTAACCAGATTTCTACAATAAAAGGTACAAACATTGCTGATAGGAGTTGAAGGCAAATAAATATACAGTCATACTCATGAATTGGAAAACTTAATATACTGTATAAGCTTCAATACTACATAAAAATAATCTACATGACACTGCTTACATAAAATCACAGAATGTAGACTGGGATTACCAGGAGCTGGGGAAAGGCACAGGGATCAGGTGGCTGGTGGTATAAACTGTTGACTTTATGAGAGGTAAGGAATTATGGAGAAGTAGAAGTTTTATTTTATGTACATTGTTTTGCTGCAACTGAAAAATAGAAAAAAAATCACTACTGCATTAAAAACAAAGAGGAAAAATACTTAAATTGAATGGTCTTTAAAGTTATATTACTTAAACTTTATTTAATGTTTATTTATATTAAATAAAAAGATGGTGGAGATGTTGGTGTATATTTAGCGTCCAAGCTTCCCACTTCTTGTTTCTCCACCCCCATAACAGCTACAAACAGCTAAGCTGTATGGTCAGATAAAGGCTAAGTTTAGTTTACTTGTTAAAGACTTCATTCAAATCTTTAAATAATCTTATGTGATTTATTTTTGAATGTGTAAATGCCTAATTCTAGAATTACATTTTTTAAATTTGTTGCCCAAACTTGAACTGCATCTATTTGTTTTATGCCTATGAATCTGGATAATAGTTTACAAATAAATGAGGATTTATAGTATCTTTCAAACCTGGGAAGAAGCAGAGATTATTGGGTTTTAGCACAAACAGTGTCATAACAAACCCTGAAGCCAGAACCCTTTGCTCCCAATAAGCTTTTATGGTTTATAGCTAACAGCTGTACTGGGGGAGGGCAGGGAAGTGTGCAGGTAGAAGATGGCGCCTGCTGATGCAGGGCAGTAACTGGTGGGGAAGGGAAGAGAGATGCCTATCTGTACTGCTGAGACTCAAAGACAATCGGACAAGATTAGGAATCTCGCTTACAATCAAAACATGTTTTGACTTTCTTGTGAACTTTGACTTTTTCTTCAACCTATGTTTTTATCAGATTATACTCAAACCTATACAAAACACCATAAACCAATTTATCTTAAGTAGTAAAGGAATGTTACCTACATAAAAATAAGTATACTCAAAAGAGTTTTATTTACTTTTGTAAAACCCTTAAATAATATAACTTTAAAGACCATCAAAATTTTATGTATTGTCATTGTTAGGACACTAGAATACAATTCTGTCTTCAAAAACCCGAGACCATACTTGGGTGTGTACCCTTTTTCTTAAGCCGCCTCTCTCTTTCAATCAACTACTAAATCTGTATTAAATTTTTTCTTAAACCTTGCTTCATCCCGAGGTGGTTTTTGTTGTAGTTTTGGGTTTTTTTTTTTCCAGTATAGTTAAAAATCTTTAGGCTTTATTTGAGGAGAGGTCTCTAAAAAGCACTTTGGGGCTGATATAAGCAGCAACATGGGGTATAGCTCATTCTGATACCCACTACCACTCACAAATGTCATCAAATGCTTTTTAAGTACTTCAAAATGCATTTCCAAAACACACTTCTCCCACCCCTATTTGATCATATGGGTTTAACACAAATTTCCCAGTGACCTGCATTTTATCTACATCCACCCCTAGCCTTTTCTTAACTGCTTTCCTTTTCAAAAAGCTATGTTCATTTTAACCCAATCCCGGCTATATGAAAGGGTAATAGTTTAAAAAAAAATACACAATCTCCAGCTGTGATAGACCTTAAAAACACATAGATTTCTTTCAGGAACTCTATTCTTCAGAAAATATTAAATAATACTCTTAAGGATAATTAATATAAAACAGATTTAAAACTATTTTTTCAGGAAGGGTTGATGCTAGTACAGGTTTACATATTACTTCACAATCAGACTTTTTTTGGCTCAGTTATTCTTACCTATTAAATACTTTAACTGCTAAAAGTTATCAGCCACAGTATCTGCGCCAGGTGCCTCTAAAACGGGCCTCCAGAGATCTTGCCTTTTGAGCTTTGGGGCTGTGCTATCCTCAGCCTCTCTAATGTGGATTGGAGGTAAGTCTCCTAACAAACACAATATGGCAGCCGTGATAGTGTATCACTTCAAAGGTTAGCTTATAAATTACAGGTATCTTCCTTCAGTTTGGAAGCTCTTTCCTGGATTGCCTGTGGTAGGGGAAATCAACTGCCATTCTTTCATGAGGTAACCCAATTGGCAGAGAATCTAGGCCAACCAGCAACCATGTGCATGCCCTTGGAAGTAGATCCTTACTCCACCTCACAGAGCTTGTCAATAACATCACAACTCCCAACTACAGCTTAACTTATACTTCAAGAAACAACCTGAACTTCTCTGTTAAATGTTGCCCTAATTCTTGACTCAAAGAAACCAAGATAAAACATGTTTGTTATTTTAAACTGTTTTAAATTTGGGGATAATTGTTAACCAGCAATACATAACTAATAAAGTAACTCAGATAACTGTCCATTTAGACAGACTTTATGAACATGGACATTTCTGAATTAACCTGAAAACAATAAATTTATTTATTCTTCATTCTGAAACTCTTATTTTGCAAACCATTTTCACAAAGGTAATAGGAAGTTTCTCTCTTAGTACAAACATGAAACGAAAGAGGGGTTAGTGGGCTGTTACACATCCATAGTCTCAGCCTTGGGAGGCCAAGTTGGAAGGATTGCTAGCTAGGGACAGTCGGGGCTACACAGAGAATTCTACACCAGCCTGGAGTACATAGGAGACCCTGTCTCAAAATAAAAGGGTAAAGGGAGCGCAAATGCTGAAACGGAAAAACAAAGTGTATTCAATTGCAGTAATATAGGCAATGCTTTGACGAGAGCAGCAGGGGTGGGGGTTCGTAAAAATAAACGTCTGGCATGTAAACCATTTAGCCACAATTATTAATAAGCCATTACAGAACGCAAGCTTAAAATATATCGAACAGGAAGTGCAAATGGATCATGGGTTTGCTTGTTTTGTTTTTGTTTTTTGTCTGTCGAGCAATATGTATTAAGTATATATCACGTGGAACGTGTAGGAAAACAAAAGACAAGAGTTTAACCAAATTTATTCTCAAATTGGGGGACTGTGGCAACTAGCAAACAGCAGTGATCCTAAACTGTACATATTTGGATTCGTATTTATTGGGATGTCGTAAAAAGGAAACAAAAAAATGTCAAAGCGTGCCTGGGCGCCTAATAACACAGCCACCACCATGAAAGCAACCTGAGGTAAGTAACCTTCACCGTTTGCCCGCATTCTTGGAGGACAGCATCGCGTCGCTCCTGCAAGTCCCAAGTTGACCTCTATACCCCTGGCCTAGAAACCCCGAGACCTACGCCCGCCTCCTGACGGCGACACGCAGTGTTCATAAGCCAGCGCCGCTGTCACTCAAAGCGTCTCGGCGTGCCATTGGTCCTAAACTATCGCCTACCCCCCGGTGCTGCCAAGTGGCAAGCACCCCTCGTTTTTCATTTCCGAGCATAAAAGTGAAAGAGCGCAGGCGGGAGAGACCAGGCTTTGGAGGCATCCGGGCCGACGCTAGTACCTGAACGACCTGCGATCCCCGCCGCCGCCGCGACGACTCTGCCTCTGGGCGGGGGCCGTCAGCCGCAAAGAAAATGGCTCAGCCGGGAACCGACGCCCAAGCCATGGAGAGGCCCGTCCAGACCGCGCGTGTTCACGCTGGAGAGCACGAGAGGGCACCAGCACCAGCACCAGCCCCAGCCCCAGCCTCCCGGGAATTCAGAGCACCTCCGTCTGCAGGAGCCGGAGTGGCAGGCAGGGCAAGGTTTTTGACGTTTCCTATTGTTGCCGGAAGTGACGTCGGGGAGCGGGGCCCCTTAAAGAATAAGGACTTCGTTTTCGTCGTGTCCGATTCGCCGTACGGTCTTTCTTTCCCGCTTCCCCTTCTGAACGACCGTTCCCATCCGAGTTACGCTAATCTGAAACATGACACTCAGCGTCAGTTGTATAATTGATGAGGTTCTCATGGGAATTGAGTCTCCCGAGGAAGCCGCTCGGGCGGAGTATGGAATCTGCACCGCGGAATCTGAGAGTGAGGGGCAGCCCGTGTGTAGCCACTTTTCGCGGCGCGCTGGTACCCACGGTTCCAAATCCAAACGGTCGGCGCGAGAGGAGCCCTGGAGCGCGGGCGCTAGGGCTCTGGGGCCGGACACCTG